TTTTTTTATTTTTAGATAATTATAAAATTAAGACTACATAAATCCCTCTAAAATGCCCAATTAAAGCACTTAAAACTCAAACTCAAGTCCATGCCACCTCTCAAATAGTAAGAAAAGTTTAAGGGCTTTCAACACCAGTTGAAATACACAAGTCTAACTAGGCTAGCTTATTCTTGCTTTTTCTTTCTTGAAACATGTTAAAAAGATAAAAGGTAATAGAAGAATAAGTTCTTAAACATGATCTCACTTTTTTAAAAATTTCAAAATCTCTTAAAATACGATAGAACTTAAAGACTCTCTTAGAATTAAATGTAAAACATAAATTTTTGTTCTGGGAACTTATACTGGATGAATAGACACTAGTTAAAGGGATATATTTCTTCAAAAAGACATGGACCAAAGAGATATGTTCTCATAGAAAGACCTCATTATGAAAATGTGTATTTTAACTGTCAAAAATTATATCTGAATCTTAATGATAGTATATAAAGAGGCAAGATCTAAACTCAAAAATCACAGGCCTGAGTTTCAACTCTCCATGATTATTTATAGATAAAGAGTAATATACATAAATCCCTTTATTTCCTTATTCTTTTTAGATGTGAGACTTTTACTTTTCAAACTATTTAACAAAATATTGGTTACAATCTCTCAGCCATATCTTTATATGTATACATATATATGTATATATATATAAAAGTTAAAAATTGAGACCACTTAAAAAGTTTAAAAAATACTCAATTTTAACACCTTTAATTTCAAAAAATAAAATAAATCATCATCAAACCGTTCAAACCTCTTAAATTCTTCACAGTCTTAATAATACTAATCCCAGATAAAGTTTCTTCACATTCATAATATCTCTAATTCCTAATCAAGACCCAATATGATTATTGAATATCAAGAGGTTAATATCAAAAAATAATATCTATAATCCTAAACAAAGACTAAATCTATCTGCAAATTACTTAACATGAGTAAAACATAAAATATATACTTTAAAAAACTATAAATTAAGAATATTATGTTGATTAAGTATTTTAACTAAACTATATACATAGCTTTGTTCTTTAAATACTTGACTCCAGGAAGGAAGTTTTGGGTTGAGAATGGGCTAAGCCTGAATTGGTCAATCGATGCGTTGGCTTGGCTGGTCTCCTCACTTTTCATGGACAGCTTGAACTAACATCTTGCGTCAAGAAAATAGCAGAGGTAAATGGTATACATGCACCACTAGATATTGTTGATAGGATAATGGAAACTTTAAACATGTTCACGATGTTTCAGCTTAGGAGTGTTGAATTGTGCCCTTGAATTCGCTAGACACGAGTACTAGTACTATTTCTTGAACAATTAAGAACAAATTAGTAGAAAAGACAGGCAATTTCACCCAACATTAAATGTTGAGAAAAGTGCACTTTTAACCAATTAACATGAAGACATGGTGCAGAACTACTATTTGTATTATTCCCTACAAATTGGAATCATTTGATAGTATCATGGCATCTCCATCCTTAGAAAAAAATTAAAGATTGATTGATGTTTGAAACTTGGAACATAAGAGAGAATCCGATTCAGTGGATCCGTACTGTTTATTCTATTAAGGACATCTTCGGTTAAAAGTAAC